CACAGCAAATCTTTAGTAAAATGTTCAAGGAAAAGAAACTTCCAACAGCAGCAGATGACACAGTAAATCTTTAGTAAAATGTTCAAGGAAAAGATCTTCCAACAGTGGCAGATAACACAATAAATCTTTACTCTGTCTAACGCTAGATCATTTCACTCATCAAGTGGAGTCTTGCAACTTAATGGGTTAATGAATCAGTTGGTTATTACAACCGATTTCAACTTGATTCATATTTAACATTCACTTTAACCCATTTACTGGCAGTACTCTACCACTGACGAGTAATTAATCGTCTGGCACTAGACAGAGTAAATACTAAGTAGGGCACATTTGGGCACATTCACATTGCCAGTTAATGAGTTAATATTAACAACATTAAAAACAGACTAGGGTGTCAAAGGCTAGTTGGATGCTTCTTTGCCTGCAACAAAGCATAAAGTGGGACTGCCACATGATCAATGTTAGATTTCAGCAATGAAGAGAATCAATATTTTAATAAAATAATTGTTATTAATAAAATAATTGTTAAAATAATCAATATTTCAATAAAATAATTGTTGCCAATTAATAAAATAATTGTTAGAAATTGTTGGGTTAATAATTATTGGGTTAATAATTATTGAAATATGTTGTGCTATAGCAGACTATGAATTGATTATGCATATGTAGTACATAAAATGGACATTAGATGACTCAAGCTGGCCTAGTTAGCCAGGCTTGTCTTCAGTTTCTTGGTTAGCCAAGATCCTGACTCATATGATAACAATTTCTATTCTGGCAAGGCAGGCTAGCCTACATGGCTCATGTAAACAGGGCCTAAGATGATACATTTTAACATCATATAGTAGGCATGTGAATATCATACTGGCAGATAGTTGAATGAAAGCCTTTTCCCATTGTTGTGTATTTCTACCATTTATTTGTAGTGTTAGCACTTGTTTCTGACTTTCTGTTTATCGGGTTTTATTGATGTATCTTGAAAAACCAGTCATGTATATATTAATATGAAATTGTATGAAATATATATATAATGAATGATTAGGGACCACCGGTCATTAATAATGGGAGGGGGGCCAGTGGCGTAACGGAGGAAGAAGGGCCCTTAGGCATATTTGGTGTGGGGGCCCTGTTGACTGTTATTGTTTGACTGAGATCTAGAATTTAAATTGAATATTTATCAGTAGAATATGGAAAATTCTGTGCCTATAACAATGATAATAACAGTCTCCAACACATGTAACAACTTTTAAGAATACCTTTTGTTCTATTTGAGATGGAATACCGTCGTCGATGGAGGGTTTATTATTTAGCATTAATTAATTATTAATTTTGTATTTTTCCATCAATTCGTAATTACCTGCATTTTTTACGTTTTCAGTCTAATTTTCTGGGTGATAGGCCGTGGCTGATGGGTGGCCCTAACTGTCGGGGGCCCTTAGTTTTTGAACTAACCCTACCTAGTGAGCGTTACGCCACTGAGGGGGCGGTGGGTGAGAAGAGGGGGGCAGCTTCAACTATTTTTGCCTGAATTGGGGGTGTCCTCAAAATATGTGACAAGGGGTGACCCCAAATTTTTAATGCTTTCCTACTCATTTTCAATCTCTTGCCTTTATCGTATCCCACAAAATATCCCACCTTTTTTAGTTCCTATAATCGTAGTTTCCATAGTTTATTACGTATATACAGTTCACGATAGGAGTCAGAGTAAATAAGAACCATTTTGAATACTGGTCCTCTTATTATTTAGGCTACACAATATCTTAACACCAGTACTTGTCCCATTACCTATTTTATACCAACTAAGTAACAAATATTAAATGTTGGAGTGGGGTCCTAAATTTCTAAATTAAGGTGGGGGCATCTTGAAAATAAAGGTCTTGCGATTGGGGCGGCTCTAAAAAATGTTCAGTATTTGGTATCTATCACCCACCGCCCCCCTCCCTCTTCCCATTATTAATGAGTGGTCCCTTATGAAAGGTTTTTATCCAGCGAGTTTTACTATATAATTCTAAAGCACATGCATCTTTCCACCTTTATAAAGACATACTATATTATTATATGAGTGTAGTACTGCAGTAAATCGATAAAGGTTTTATGTATGCATAATTTGGATCTTTCATAAATATTGCACACACGGTATTCGTATGAATATTTATAAGACAAATTTACATATTGAAATTAGTTCACTTACCAAAAAGTGCGTTTAATTTGATACATCTCCAACCACTACTTGTTTTTATTTTGTACTCTTCAAATTTCTCAAGCATTTCTGCTTGTGAAGCGCAAACAAGCACCCGGTCACTATCGCTATACTCTTCGATGGAAGCCATATTGCTTTGGTTTCGCGCGTTTTTTCCAATTTCGCGCACTAATTTATTTGAATTTTAAATATCGAATACCGCTGACTCGTATGTATTGCAGTTTCAGATATGTGCGTATCTTGTCTATGATCTAGTGCCGACCATCTTTGGAAGAATGTTTGTCATTAAGTGTGTAAGTCCTTTGGTGTCCGCCATTATTACTGTTTATATTTGTATATTTGTACAAAAATCATCTCTCAAATGTCGGTCAAGTTTTACAATAAAATCCGCCGTTTTTTATTACTAGATATCAGAAAAACCCCAGCGATTATCTAAAAATAAAAATTGGATATGCTTGTACAGAAATTTTTTGAGAAAAAGGACAAAATGTCAAAAGGTAATTTTCACTCACTCAATAGGAAATAGTATGGGCGCCATTGGTAGACGCGCGCTCGCCCCAATGTTTTTGCACCCCCTGCAATATGGCGGTAGAAACCTTGGAAAGGTCTATTGGGAAGGACTTCTCAAATTTCCTTAAATATGACGCAAGTTGGTAGGGACAAAGCAAAACTCTAGATGGTCAAGATTATTGTTATTAGTGTAAATGTTTATTGAAATACCTGGGTAGATTCATGATCATCGGTTTCTTCATCTATTTCGTTTGGAGCTTCGGGTTTAACAAATCTCACGTAGAATACCTTAATATCTGGAATTTGGTTCATGTTTTTACAAGATGGGCCACGTTCTCCCGCGAGGATGTCACATACCATGCCTTTTTCAATGTGCTTAGCGAAATATTTTTGACAAGATTCAACTATGTATGTTTGTGTTTTGTGATATTACTCTGAGTGCATATCCACACCGGGCGAGCTTGAAAAATATGCCCGGCCACGGTGGGATTCGAACCTACGACCTTTGGAATACCAGCCCAATGCTCTTCCAACTGAGCTACGCGGTCAGGACGGTTCGAGTAAGTGATATTTCGGAACAGTATCTAGTTCCTTCAATACCAATGTGTTCTGGTAATATGAATTTTTTCTGTGTTGGTGTTGTGTACTCAGGTGAATAATATGTCCCACCGTGGCCGGGCATATTTTTCAAGCTCGCCCGGTGTGGATATGCACTCAGAGTAACATCACAAACATATTATTCACCTGAGTACACAACACCAACACAGAAAAAATTTAAGATTCAACTATGTTTTCGAATGTCAACTCATCGTGTTCAAATGGAACAAACTCTTGTGGGCCAATTCGAGTATACTTCTGCTGTTTTCCTGTCACTTCGGAGCTCATTCTCTGAACTATGATTTCGTCCTTCAAATCCTTTGACTCGCCTTTGCCTTTCTCAGTCCATGGTTTTGCCATTCGTTTTTCAGGTTGCTTGACCTTAAACTGTCTCCAATCCGACATTTTGTCATATTGTGATGTTTGCACTTTCCATGTGCTCGATGAGTTGATGGATACAGTAGGTGATCGGACTACATATAAGGATATAAAATTTTTCACGCGCGCATGGCATCATGGTAGTGGCAGCGCTCGGCCACAGAGAAATTTACTTTTATTTTTGTTTGCATTTCACTTTGAATATAACTTTAGTTTTCGGTTGAAGTTGTATTTGGAATGAACTTTTATTTTAATTTGCTTTCGCTTTCGCATTTCAAATGAAAAAAGAAATTAACTTTATTTGAGTTTGTGAGTGGCATTTACATTTACTTTTACATTAAAATTTTATTCTACTTTAATTGTCTTTAATTTTTGAATTTCAATTTGTAAAAAACTGAACATTTTTAAGTGGCAACGCTCGGCGACCATATAGGCCTATATATATATATATATATATATATATATATATATATATATATATATATATATATATATATATATATATATATATATATATATATATATATATATATATATATATATATATATATATATATATATATATATATATATATATATATATATATATATATATATATATATATATATATATATATATATATATATATATATATGGCCTTTTCAGCTCATTCTCGGCGGTTCCAAAAATGTTTCTTTAAGTTTAAACACAGTTATCTCAGTCCATATTGCATGAAAAGGTACAAGACATATATCAAAATTTAAGTTAATTAAACATCGTGGAATATACGGTGACTTATTTACGTGCAATAGCTCTTTTACTTTTTAAGTTATAGTTAATCAAACAGTCGTACTTTTTTTCGCCCCACCCGGTATATATATATATATATATATATATATAAATTCAAAGACTTTCCACCGATGTCCATTGTAAATTGTAAGTTTTGATCAAAAGAATTGAGGGCAGTAAAAAAGGTATTAAGCCTTTGTACTGTACCTCTCCAAAGCACAAATGTGTCATCTCTAAAACGAAACCAAACCCGCAATTCTGGAAAATTTATTTTAGATTCTATAACTCTTAAATCAACACATTCAGCGACAATATCTGCATATGAGCAAGAATTCTTAGGACCCATTGCAGTACCATCGGTTTGCAGCCAATATTGTTCCTGATATGTGGAACAATTCTTATAGAGGCAGATCTCCAAGGCCTCAATTATACATTCCACAGGCACATCAAATTTTTCCGAAAATTGTGTGAGCTTTTTACGCACCCGTTCCACTCCGGTTTTATTATTAATAGATGGAAACATATTCACGATATCAAAACTTACTACAAGATCTTAAAAAAACATCATAGAGAAATTATTTGTAACGATGAAAAGGCCATTGAGGTTTTACCAGAGGGAGCCATTTGTGTGGCATATAAACGTAATGCCAATTTAAAAGAATTGTTGGCCCCCTCTAATCCTTTTAAATTTAAAAGCCGGTCGTATAGGGAAACTACAGGCTGTTTTAGGTGTAAAGCTAAGCGATGTGACTGTTGTAAAAACTTTTAGAAGAAGGTTCCACCTTTAGTTCCACAGTTTCTAAAAGAGTATTTCAGATTGGTAAAGATCTTACTTGCACCTCCGATAATGTTGTTTATCTTGCTAGTTGTGTTGCTTGCAATTTGCAAGGAGTGGGGTCTACTATCAATTTTAAGACCCGACTCGCTAATTACAAGTCTCACATTAAACGTAATAAGAGAACCTGTGGTATTGTTAACCATTTTCTGGATTGTCATGGTGCTGATTATTCATAGTTGAAATTCATGCTAATTGATCGGCGCCAGGGCAACCTAAGGGAATGTGAAAATTTTTGGATTGGTATGCTATTGACTAATCAAAGAGGACTTAACTCTACGCATGATTTTGTACAACAATAGGATTAAGTTAATTACTTAGCATGCTAAATAGTATAAATGCCATGTGCTGTAACCTAGTTTTTATTCTGAGGAAGGCCGTGTCAATTTATTTGTATACTTTACTTTAGTCATCTTTAATAAATTCTTCGATACGTAGCCATCTCTTTGTCGTAATTTTTTTGTGCTGTTGGCTAAGGCAAGTTTTGGTCATTGTCGTATATATATATATATATATATATATATATATATATATATATACGGTACCGCCGTTTCGGCCTAATGGGCCTCATCAGTGTAGTGCTGATGAGCAGGATGAAAGTAACTCTTATTTATAGTTACCTTTGATGCCTCACGATTGTGGGACATCAAAACCATGCCAGAGCGCTCAAACTGCAATATATATATATATATATATATATATATATATATATATATATATATATATATATATATATATATATATATATATATATATATATATATATGACATATTTATTCAAATAATTCATTAACACAAGTATACACTTTCACGAAATTCTAAAATATTCTATAAGCACTAAACATTGTCTTTCTGTGCGTGTCAATGCGTTGACGGAAGAATACGTTGTGCTAGACAGTAAACAAGGTCCGTGACGGCACACGTTGCATTGGCTACCTCCTTGCCTTTTTCTTCTTTTGCGTAAAGCTTGTTGGCAAGTCAAGCGATTGGCGATAACACGTATTGGCTATCTCCTCGTCTTTCTCGTTTAAATAAAGAGCTCTGACTCAACTGATTTTGTTTAGTCTCGCAAGTTATTTTCTTCGTAAACGCCATACAATGATACAAACACCCGCTTCTGTTTAATAGTTGCATGTTTACGCTCTACTGATCTGATGCCGCAATTTTTCGCTCTTTGTACTGAGTGTAGCCATCTATTCTGTGGTGTAGCACTAGCACCTTATACTGTCAATGTGTAATTAATACACGGTCTAAATAATATCGGCACTTAACCGCTGAATGCCGGTTTAATGCATACATCAATTCATACATTGCGTAGAATCTCAAAGATTTTCTCAATATTCATGTCTGAAACGTTTATATATTTTAAAACAACACTGTCTCGCTCCTTCCTAGCTCTGTATAATGAATATACCGCCAAAATAATATCGGCACTCAATTGAATGGCTAGAATCTCAAAGATTTTCGACTCAATATTTACGTCTGAAATGTTTATACACTTGAAAAAAAGCACTGTCTAGCTCCTTCCTATATAATGAATATACCGTCTAAATAATATCGGTACTTGATTGAATGCCCGTAATGCATAACATCAATTTATATATTACGCACATTCTCAAATATTCACGTTTGAAATGTTTTTACATTTGAAAACAACACTGTCGCTCCTTCCTAGCATCGTCACGCCATCGTGATCTACGGCTTGATAGCGCATGCGCATTTGCGCTGCTAAAGAAAAAATCGGGTGTTCCGGGGTAAAGATCCTTTGACAACATGAGAAGCGAATGTTACAAATTTTACAAAAAATTACAATAACGACAGCGTTCCTCGAAATTTTTGTGAACTTGGCAAAAGGACAAAAGAATATTTAAAAAAGACAACCGAAACTGCCTAAATAACCGCCTCTTCAGGATCCTCTCCCTTACATCCTTTATATTTACTTTTCCACTTGGTCGGTAAGTTTATGTAAGCTTTCTCTTACGGATATTGTGAAAAACAGGATGTCTATTCCTTCTCACTATATTTACTTTCCAAAAAGTGCAGAGCTAAGGCGGAACACGACGCGACCGCTAAATGTATACTAAACATCGTATGCGGTAAAATCTTCATGACTATAAACATTTCGTATAATATCTCTGACAAGTGACAACAGCAAGGTAAAATTATTGTAAAACATCCAAGTATTTTGCGCATTTTAACAGCATATTATGTATGGTTTATTCTTTCAAGTTTTATGATGTTTGAGTGATGTTACTCTGAGTGTATACAGTATCTACACCGGGCAAACTTGAAAAATATGCCTGGCCACGGTGGGAATCGAACCTACGACCTTTGGAATACTAGCCCAATGCTCTGCCAACTGAGCTACGTGGTCAGGTCGGTTCGAGTATGTGATATTTCGGAACCGCTGAGTTAAGTAATACTATACTATATCGATGCATGCAAATGTTAATCCCATTGACATTGATATCATTATTTGACATTATCAGACTTTTATTTGACATTATCAGAAGGAAAACATGTAGGAGATATTATTCGGTGCTCAAACTTAATGTTAAAAAATCTGTCGTTAATGCATTTTCCGCAGCCCTGACACAGTTTTGCATTCCGCGCTATATCAGCCTATATGATAATCGAGTTTTCGAGATACGTATAAAAAACAAATCCTGCGTTCAGATGTTCCGTCAGTTTATTCCATTTTTTTGTGACTAGGGAAATGTTTTCAGATTCGAACATGTTCGGTTACGTTAGTCGTTAACCGTTTAAACTATACACTCTGTTACTCTCGATTTCAATTTGCTTTTCAAAACTGACTTCCAATGTTTACTTGTAAATTCGGAATGTTCGTTGTAAAGTTCCGAAGTTTGTTTCGAAGTTCGTTCCGATGATTTACGATAATCAAGTTTACTAAGTTGTAATTGGCTAGTTAAGTGAACCAGCCAATCAAATCGCTTGCTATTGAATCATCGTAACGAACTTCGAAACAAACTTCGGAACTTTACAACGAACATTCCGAATTTACAAGTAAACATTGGAAGTCAGTTTTGAAAAGCAAATTGAAATCGAGAGTAATTTCAGGGAGTTAATTTAACTCCCATGCAGTCGGAGTTATTTTTAACCCTGAAATTTAATTCCAAATGTGGAGTAAAATTTGGTTACGACAATATAAATATAAACAAGCCAGTTTTCGGTGTCCGTCCAAGAAGCTCAGTCTATACATGCAGTCTACACTACACTACACTATGGATAACAAACGAGACCTCCTATAATTTAGTTTTCTGATTGATATAAAGCAAGAATAATCGAGAGAATAATTATTGGTTCATAAATTACAGAGCTAGATATTAAGCGGTACAGTATATTGGAAACCATAAGAAAGTCTTTATGAAGATTATTCTCTACTTTGTTTATAAGCTGAAGACC